CAATCTTCTATTGTGTAATCTCCTACTATGTAATCTACTACTGTGTAATCTCCTACTGTGTAATCTTCTACTGTGTAATCTCCTACTATGCAATCTCCTAATATGTAATCTCCTACTATGTAATCTCCTACTATTTAATCTCCTACTGTGTAATTTCCTTCTGTGTAATCTCCTACTATGTAATCTCCTACTATGTAATCTCCTACTATGTAATCTCCTACTGTGTAAACTCCTACTGTGTAATCTCCTACTTTGTAATCTCCTTCTGTGTAATCTCCTTCTGTGTAATCTCCTACTATGTAATCTCCTACTATGTAATCTCCTACTATGTAATCTCCTACTATGTAATCTCCTACTGTGTAATCTCCTACTGTGTAATCTCCTACTGTGTAATCTCCTACTGTGTAATCTACTACTGTGTAATCTCCTACTGTGTAATCTACTACTGTGTAATCTCCTACTGTGTAATCTTCTACAGTGTAATCTCCTACTATGCAATCTCCTAATATGTAATCTCCTACTATGTAATCTCCTACTATTTAATCTCCTACTGTGTAATATCCTACTGCGTAATCTCCTACTGTGTAATTTCCTTCTGTGTAATCTCCTACTATGTAATCTCCTACTATGTAATCTCCTACTATGTAATCTTCTACTGCGTAATCGCCTACTGCGTAATCTCCTACTATGCAATCTCCTACTATGTGATCTCCTACTATGTAATCTCCTAATGTGTAATCTTCTACTGCGTAATCTCCTACTGTGTAATCTCCTACTGTGTAATAACCTACTGTGTAATCTCCTACTGTGTAATCTCCTACTGTGTAATCTCCTACTGTGTAATCTCCTACTGTGTAATCTCCTACTGTGTAATCTCCTACTGTGTAATCTCCTACTGTGTAATCTCCTACTGTGTAATCTCCTACTGTGTAATCTCCTACTGTGTAATCTCCTACTGTGTAATCTCCTACTGTGTAATCTCCTACTGTGTAATCTCCTACTGTGTAATCTCCTACTGTGTAATCTCCTACTGTGTAATCTCCTACTGTGTAATCTCCTACTGTGTAATCTCCTACTGTGTAATCTCCTACTGTGTAATCTCCTACTGTGTAATCTCCTACTGTGTAATCTCCTACTGTGTAATCTCCTACTGTGTAATCTCCTACTGTGTAATCTCCTACTGTGTAATCTCCTACTGTGTAATCTTCTACTGTGTAATCTCCTACTGTGTAATCTCCTACTGTGTAATCTCCTACTGTGTAATCTTCTACTGTGTAATCTCCTACTGTGTAATCTCCTACTGTGTAATCTCCTACTGTGTAATCTTCTACTGTGTAATCTCCTACTGTGTAATCTCCTACTGTGTAATCTCCTACTGTGTAATCTTCTACTGTGTAATCTCCTACTGTGTAATCTCCTACTGTGTAATCTCCTACTGTGTAATCTTCTACTGTGTAATCTCCTACTGTGTAATCTCCTACTGTGTAATCTCCTACTGTGTAATCTTCTACTGTGTAATCTCCTACTGTGTAATCTCCTACTGTGTAATCTCCTACTGTGTAATCTTCTACTGTGTAATCTCCTACTGTGTAATCTCCTACTGTGTAATCTCCTACTGTGTAATCTTCTACTGTGTAATCTCCTACTGTGTAATCTCCTACTGTGTAATCTCCTACTGTGTAATCTTCTATTGTGTAATCTCCTACTCCGTAATCTTCTATTGTGTAATCTCCTACTGTGTAATCTCCTACTGTGTAATCTCCTACTGTGTAATCTTCTATTGTGTAATCTCCTACTGTGTAATCTCCTACTGTGTAATCTCCTACTGTGTAATCTTCTATTGTGTAATCTCCTACTGTGTAATCTCCTACTGTGTAATCTCCTACTGTGTAATCTTCTATTGTGTAATCTCCTACTGTGTAATCTCCTACTGTGTAATCTCCTACTGTGTAATCTTCTATTGTGTAATCTCCTACAGTGTAATCTTCTACTGTGTAATCTCCTACTATGTAATATCCTACTGCGTAATCTCCTACTGCGTAATCTCCTACTGTGTAATCTCCTACTGCGTAATCTTCTATTGTGTAATCTCCTACTGTGTAATCTCCTACTGTGTAATCTCCTACTGTGTAATCTTCTACTGTGTAATCTCCTACTGTGTAATCTCCTACTGTGTAATCTCCTACTGTGTAATCTTCTACTGTGTAATCTCCTACTGTGTAATCTACTACTATGTAATCTCCTACTGTGTAATCTCCTACTGTGTAATCTCCTACTATGTAATCTCCTACTGTGTAATCTACTACTGTGTAATCTACTACTGTGTAATCTCTTACTGCGTAATCTCCTACTGTGTAATCTTCTATTGTGTAATCTCCTACTGTGTAATCTCCTACTATGTAATCTCCTACTGTGTAATCTACTACTGTGTAATCTACTACTGTGTAATTTCCTACTGTGTAATCTCCTACTATGTAATCTTCTATTGTGTAATCTCCTACTGTGTAATCTCCTACTGCGTAATCTCTTACTGCGTAATCTCCTACTGTGTAATCTTTTACTGTGTAATCTCCTACTGTGTAATCTTCTACTGTGTAATCTTCTACTGTGTAATCTCCTACTGTGTAATCTTCTACTGCGTAATATCCTACTGTGTACTATGTAATCATTTTTTTGTTATCACCTATTGTTATATCTCTGCCACTCTGTCACTATATCAACTTTATTGTATTTTAATGAATTATCCAAAACAAATCTTAACTTTTAAAAAATGCTACCTCTTAAGAAGAATTCCAAATAGCAGTTTGAAAATAAAATACATTTTTCTATATTTAAGTTAGACCATAATGGTTATGTTACCGCATGTTTACACTCTGCTGTTAAGTTTTGTGTTAATTATAAATCCTATTGTTCGTAAATGTACATATATGTTAGTGTATGGTGCATTTCCATTCCAAGCAATCCATACATGTCAGTATTACTGAGAACCAGTCCGTAAGCGCCTCCGACATTATTGTTTCATGCATGGAGAAGGTCACTGCCAGAAGGAGTTGGCGTGTTTTGCAGATTCCATTTTCAATTAATAAAAATGACGCATTGTGTTTGAACGCCTTTTGTTTAAAGGTCTTATTTTGTAGGTGTATCCTTGTCGTGACAAGCTAGCGTGTAAGAGTCGTAGAGCTTCATATCTCAAGGCCCTATTTTTGTCAGTCGGCAACGTAACGACTAATGTGTACCTGTTGCCTCCTCTCTTGCAAAAAAGGCATGGTATTAGGAAAACAATAAGTCCTTATACAGTTACATTGTTCGGCATTAATGAATGGCAGCAAAGACGTCAACGAGCTGGAGTTGTAAGCATCCCATGAATGACAGCAAAGACGTTAAAGAGCTCGAGTTGTAAACATCCCATGAATGACAGCAAAGACGTAAACGAGAAGGAGTTGTGAACAAGCTATCAAGTAACAAGTATAAGAACATTCGGTACAGTAGCAGCAATAGTCGCGATATCTCTTACGTCAGGTTAACGAAATGTATGTTGGTAAACGTTGGTACCTTTATCTTGACGTCGTTCCTCGCTCGCCATCAATCGTATGTGTGCATATATATTGTTTAATCTACACAGCGTTTGATGCTTTCTTTGGTTTAAGAATAGTACATCACAACTTATATATATTTTTTCAGTCAAAGTGAAACATGCGTTATGATAACAGCATGTACAGGAGTTCCCGTGGCACCGGTTCCGGACAACAGAACTTTACAAAACACAAAACAATAGCCAATTGAAAATTTGCTATCGTTCGCAAACCTAGACTGCAGTAAAGTAAGCTGTTATCGTCACTTTGCACTGTGATATCGCTGATGGATTCCGTGAAGGCCCCGCGAAGTTTCTGTTCAGGTCGTTATCTCTATAACCTATATTGAACAAATTTCGGTCTGAAGTTTATCGTATTTTGAAAACTCGTTACATTATCTGCTCAATTATGAAGCATGCCTGGTTTTAAGTATAGCTGGTGCTAGACGACAATGTGTTCAATATAGTTTGCTAGTTGGAATTACTGCCAGTTCAGTTTAGTTGGCGCTACCCCATCAAGGTGATGTGACTAGCTTTTCCGTTAAGTTGATGTTAGCGACTTTTGAGGGAGGTTGACCTGTAACTGTTGCGTTGTTGATGTCTACCAAAGTCCGCCTTTTTACGGGCCGTCTATAGCAGAGATTACGCCAACTCGCTTCTGTTTGTATATGGCTGTGTAATAGACTGTGAAATTGGATTTGAATTGGTCGACGCAACATACGAAACGGTCTCGGGAAAATCAAATTTCCGGTCAACATTTATTTTGATGAGTTGAAAGCAGAAGTATAACTGTTTTACGAGGACGTGAAATCAAACTGTAGAACGAACGCACTCGAACGGTGATTAAGATCTGCCAAGACGGCAATGCTAACATTAAGCCAGGCGGTAATTAAACTTAGCTGTTATTCCTATCCGCCGAAATGATCTGTTTCAGAGACTCAGTACTACCTGTCAACACGTAATCGTTACAATATGTAATGACAGGAGGTGTTGGGCACGTGTCCGGCATGTCACCTCTGAAATATCAACGGAGTAGACGTGACAAGCACTCATTATAGATACATTAAGTTCGCACGTGTTATTAGATCCATAGTTACTTGTGTCATAATGAACTTACAAGAAGACCTATTTACGTAATAATTTCGTCCATCACCAGATTCAACAATCCGACCACAATGCAACGGGGAAAAAAAGATCAAGAGAGCTCAAGACACAAGCAATATGTGTTGGCTTTGACACGATGTCTGGTCACAACACGGCCTTACCTATCTAATCATATAGTCTATAGCATTCTAGTGACACGATGTTTGGTCACAACACGGACTTACCTATCGAATCTTATACTCTGTAGCATTCTAGTGACACGATGTCTGGTCACAACAAGGCCTTACCTATCTAATATTATACTCTGTAGCATTCTAGTGACACGATGTCTGGTCACAACACGTCCTTACCTATCTAATCTTATACTCTGTAGCATTTTAGTGACACGATGTCTGGTCACGACACGGCCTTACATATATATACTGTAATGTATATAGCAGTGTTTAAGTTTGTGTGTGTAGTTTCTAAGAGTGGTTAAGTTTGTGTGTGTAGTTTCTAAGAATGTTTAGGTTTGAGTGTGTACTTTCTAGCAGTGTTTATGTTTGTGTGTGTAGTTTCTAGCAAGGTTTAAGTCTCTGTGTGTAGTTCCGAGCAGTGTTTAGGTTTGTGTGTGTAGTTTCTAGTTGTGTTTAGGTTTGTGTGTTTAGTTTCTAGCAGTGTTTTGTTTGTGTGTGTAGTTTCTAGCAGTGTTTAAGTTTGTGTGTGTAGTTTCTAGCAGTGTTTAGGTTTTTGTGTTTAGTGAGTAGCAGATTTTAAGTTTGTGCATGTAGTTTCTAAGAGTGTTTAGG